TCAGGGCAGAAGAAGAAGGTGTCAGAACTGAAGAAGAAGATGGCCTTTCCATAACCCTTTCCAGCTTGCTGGCTGGATGGGGCAAGCTGGGCACCTCTCAGCCCCTTCTGGGTCTCCAGGCACAACACCCGGTTAAACAGCAGGGCAAGGGTGACACCTAGAGGTCTTGTGAAAAACTGCAATCTGCCCCCACCCAGCTCTATGACCTGGCCCTTGAGACTTTAGTTGGTTCATTAATATATACAGGTAGTCCCTGACTTACGACCATTCCAACAACTGTCATAAATTGATTCTGACATAAGTCAAATACCTCATTTTTTTTAGTATTCATTATTATTGCTTTTTATTATCAGTACCTTTATAAATCCGGCAGTGATTTTAATCATAAAATTGAATATCTGCAAGTGAACATCTGAGAATGATAACATTAGTAAATTACACGCTGCAACATATTACTAACATAAGATGTACAAAAAAAACCAGATGGTTGTAAGTGCAGTTCATCGTAACTCGAATACATTGTAAGTCTGGATTGTCTGTATTTATTGAGCGCTCATCATGTGCCAACCCTTTTGTTAGGCACTGGGCCTAAGTCTGACTTTGTAGAGCTTACATTCTAGTTAGAAAATGGAATTTATGCAAATAATTAGACAATTAAATCACAATCACAATAATACTAAAAAATACAAAGTGTTAAGAAAGTTTATAATAGGAAGATGTAGTTTTGGGGGTCTTGGCAGGCATTCTCAAGCAAGTTAAATTTATGTTGAGACCTGCTGAATGAGAAGGTGTTGGCCAGGTCAGAGCAGGAGGAAAAAAGCATTCAGGCAGGAGGGGTCAGCAAAGACAAAAGCTCTGGGTGGAAAGAAGCATGAAAACTTTCAAGAAACTGATTACTGGTATGAGGGAGGAGGAGAATGGTAACAAATAAAGCTGAAGAGGTTGGCAGGACCAGTCATGAAGGGCCCTGTCAATCATAGGACAATTTTTTGTTTTTACGCTAAGGAAAATTTAATGAGAACTTATTGAACTTTTAGCAGGACAGTAAGGTGATCAGATCTGCATTTCTCAGTGCTAACTCTGGCTACAGAGTGGAGACTGGTTCAGAGAGGAGCAAGCCTAGAGCCAGGAAGGCAATTAGAAGGTCTTTGCAGTGTCCAGGTGATGTAGAGACGGTGCTAATCTGGACTCAAGTGGTGACAGAGGAGGTAGAGGCAGGGAGCTGGCTAGAAGGCCACTGCAGTGTTCAGATGAGAGATGCGGCGACCTGTACTCTGGTGATAGCAGAGAGATGACGAGAAACGCGAGGGGTTGAGATATATTATGGCAATAGAATGGACAGGACATGGTGACTGGCTGGAAGTGAGGGATCACGGACAGGGAGGTTCAAAGATGACTCTCTGGTTTCTGACTAGGACCTCTGCAAAGCAATGAGGTAGCTGCTGAAATGGGAACACAAAGAAGGAGGACAGTGCTGGACACGTTGAACATGAGGTGCCTGTGGGACTCCAAGTGAAGATGGCAAACGGTTGAATAAAGGTTAAGAAGGGGGCATAAATGTGGGAATCATCTGCGTGTAGATGGTAACCAAAGCCCTGAGCAGTGCTAACATTTAGAAGTGGGCAGAGAAAAAATGTGGGCGAAGGAGTAAAAGGAAAACCAGGTGAGTATGGTGTTATGAAAGCCAGTGAAAAGAGTGTATCAGAAAGGAGAGAGTTGTCAAGTCTATAAAATATTTTTGAGATACACTGAGATGAGACCTAAAAATTGCCCATTGGACAACATGAAGACCATTGGTGACCTTAGGCCCTTTTAAGGTGGAGTGACAGAGAGAGGTCAAATTAGAGTGAGATGTGGAGTAAGTAGCTGGTGAGCAGTGGAGAAAGTGAGTGTGGTTCTCTGCCTGCAAAGAATGTTCTTTCCCAGACAGCCACCTGGCTCGCTTCTTCACTTCAAGACTTAACTCAAAAGTCACCTTCTCAGTGTGTCAAGCCCTCCGTCCATCAGGGAGAAGGGCGAAGTCATGTGAAAGCCGAGGGGTGGGCGAGCCCAGAATGGAGTGAGGTTGGTGGGGGTGCCGCCCTTGCTGGCACGGAGAGAGTAAAGCGGCAGAAGTGGGGTGGGTAATGGAAAAGAGCCGGAGTTAGGATTTCAGAGGAGTTGAGTGCAGTGTCGGGTAGCTGCTGGGCCTACGCTGGAAGCCGCAGGAAGGACTCTGCGACCTCGGCTCCTCGGCCCTCCACAGCCCCCGCCTCTACCTCTGCTGACCGGGCCGCAGTAGTTATAGAAGTTGCACAAGGTATCCAGCACCGCCACCACTGACACTTGGTCCCGCGCGGCCTCCAGTGGCGTCATCCTGTTCGCCTCGGCCTCGACCTGAGCCCCTACCCTCAGCACTGGACACCACTGGGGCTGCGGGAAGTGAAGTCTGACCTGGTGGGAGAACAATACCCACGGCCACCACTACCCTTATTTGGTCTCTTCAGAGCCTAGTCTGTGCTCTGGGTCAAGGTCACCCTGCCCCTGCCAAGATCACCTTTTCCTTTCAGATGGCCCCCTCTTAACCTCTAGAAATCTTACCCTTCTTCCCTCAGGAGCAAATAGGAAGTGATGGGCCAGGGGTTCTGTTTCTGCTCCTGTGTCCATACCTGAGACCCTTGAGCAGAAAACCCTGCAGCTGAACCAGAGGCTTGGAGCCACCAGGGCTACTCACTTGGGGGCCTGACCATGTAGGGACAAGATAGCCCATTCTGCCCCAGCCCTGGGCCCCTTCCCCCAGAATCTAGTGGCCAAAGCCAGGCCCTTCCCAGTGCCCAACCAGTACTCAGCCCTACTGCATCTGTTGTCCTAATCTTACTGCAGTCCCTGTATCTGTGACCCCCTGTGGCCTCTGTGCTTTGGCTGCCCTGGCCTCACCACCGACCTGGTCAAAAGTCACCAGCAGTCCCAACCTGACCCCACACAGCCAGGCCCAGGTTCTCAGACTAAAACCTGGGCTCCTGCCAGGCTGCAGCTCACCAGCTGTACTCACTCTGCAACCTGAGAAATCTCAGCACAGTCTAAGAGCTAGTACTGGGGACACTATCCCCTTTTGGAATGGGGGGTGGGAAAGATGAGGTCCTCTAGCTCCCCACAGTGGAGGCTCTCACTGTCCCTGCAGTCACTTAAGGGTTCAGCATCATCCCGTCCACCACCATAAGGGTTCCCGGCCAGGGGGAACGGTTCAGGCATTGCCCAAGGCCACATAGTCAGTGAGCAGTCAAATGGAGTTGAGCAGGAGCTAGGGCAGCCTTGCCCTGTGGTAGTCCCTATACTTTCCACTGGAGATGGGGGAGAAGCCTGAATGGGGGTGGGGATGAAGAGAGAAGGATGGATATTTAATACTACCCAGGACTCCCAGGAGTGAGCTAAGGCTTTTTCTGGGCCATTACTCCCGTCCAACTACATTGACTAGGTTGCCTGGCCTTTGACCCCATACCAGGGCAGTCCCTGCCCCATCTCTACAGCAGGCCACACAACACCCTTGGAAGTGCCACTGTCACTGTACAAAGAGACAGAATAACACAATAGCAACCTCAATGGCAACAGCTATTTACTGAACACTTACTCTGTGCCATATTCTCTGTGCCAAGCCTTTTACATATTATCTCTTAATCACAACAACCCTATGAAGTTGGTACTGTTATTATTCCCATTTTTACCAATAAGGAAATTAAGGTTCAGAGAAGTTAAGCAACTTGCCCCAAGTAAATGTTGAAGGTGAATTTCAAATGCCTCCCCAACCTCATGCTCCACTGCTCCTCTGAGGGTTTGGTTCACATTCCCTTGCTGAGCCTTTGCTTTGGCTGTTTGCTCTTCTTGAAATACCCTTCCCAAACCCTTCAAGGGCAGCCCAGCTGAAGTCCTAGAAGACTCCCGATTTCTTCAATCCAGTGATCTCATAGAATTCTGAGTCTCAGGGCTACAAATGCCCCAGAAAGCTTCTAGGGCCCAGTGCCCAGTCAGGAAGCTGCAAAGAGCAAGGACCGCCTGAGCTCTAGTCGCAATCAGGAGTGAGTGGCAGTGGGGAGGGGTGGAAAGATATCGGTGCAGTTGTGCCTCTCGGGTCCTGAGCCACTATTTTTTCTCCAAATCATGCTTGGCACAAGGGGGTAAACAATGTCAAAAGAGAAGTGGGGTTGAAAAAAGAGACAGGTGCGGCTGAGAAATTGCCTGGGAGAAAGGAGAGACAGGAATCATATAGACCCTATAACATCAATTTGTCTGGACTATTTTTAGGAGGAGGTGAAAATCCGTAACTTAACACATTATACTAAAACATAATATTAAAATTTGGCAAAAGAAACATGAAGTTTAAAAGCGAAATTTTAAAGATAAAACATGAAACTACTAAGAAATTCCGTGCTTGTGGAGGGAGAATTCGGGCTTCTCCCTCAGCCGAGGGCTGATTCCCTTTCCTCCGAGATTGGGGGATGGGTGATTGCCCAGAGGCTGGCACCGAGTGAAGGCAGCAATTGTGATTTTCGGAGCTGGGGGAGGTAGGTTCAGTGCGTAAGAGTGTGGCCCGGCCCGAGGCCCTACGAAGGGGCACCCCTGCGTCCTCGCTGTACCTTCAGCGACAGGGTCTGGGTGGGGCGGTGGAGAGAGCCGCCGGCGGTACCACAGGCTCCGCCCCCTACCTTCAGCTCCGCCTTCCCCCGGACTCCGCGTGTTTCACTACTAGCAACTCAGAACCAGTGGTCCCGTAGCAGCTCCAGGTTGGCTTGGCGTGGCGCGGCAGCGTAATCTGCGAGTCACCCCACCCCCGCCCCGCCCCGCCCCACCGCCACCAAGGGTCGGTCCGTGACTTCTCTCGGGAAAAGAGCGAAAAAACGCGAACTGCCGGCAGAACTGGACTCCATCAGTTTCCGACGACCAGTTTTGGACCGAGAGCGGGAGTCCCGAACGACAACTGGGCGGCCCCAGGGGAAGGACAGGCCGGGGTCGCTATCCGGAGAGCCATGGCCGCGTCCGCCCGCCGCCTGTGCCACATCGCCTTCCACGTGCCAGTGAAGCACCCCCTCTCCCGGGACTTGCAGCGCTTCTTCGGCTTCCAGCCCCTGGCGGCGCGGGAGGCAGATGGCTGGCGGCAGCTAGCCCTGCGAAGCGGAGACGCAGTCTTCTTGGTGAATGAGGGTGCGGGACCCGGGAAGCCGCTGTATGGCCTGGACTCGCGTCACGCCGTGCCCAGCGCTGCGAACCTGTGCTTCGAAGTGGACAACGCGGCAGCCGCCGCCCGGGCGCTAGCTGCGCGGGGCTGCCGCATACCAGTGCCCCCTGTTAACGTGCGGGATGCACAGGGTGCCGCCACCTACGCGGTGGTGAACTCGCCGGTCGGCAACCTCAGCCTTACCTTGCTGGAGCGCACGGGCTACCGGGGGCCCTTCCTGCCAGGCTTTGAGCCCGTGCGGTCAGTGCCTGGCCCCGGCTGGGTCAGCCACGTGGACCACCTGACTCTGGCCTGCACCCTCGGCAGCTCCCCCACACTGATGCACTGGTTCCAGGACTGCCTCGGCTTTCTCCACCTGCCGCTGAGCCCAGGTGAGGATCCGGAGGTGGGCTTAGAAGTGACTGCGGGGGTTGGACGTGGGGGGCTGCGGCTCACCGCCCTGCAGACACCGACGGGCAGTGCTGTCCCCACCCTTGTGCTGGCTGAGTCCCTGCCGGGGGCTGCCGGCGGGAAGGACCAGGTGGAGCAGTTCCTGGCCCGGCACCAAGGGCCGGGCCTGCAGCACGTGGGGCTGTACACGCTTGACATCATGGAGGCCACTGAAGGCGTGACAGCAGCGGGGGGCCAGCTCCTGACTCCTCCTGAGGCTTATTACCAGCAGCCCGGCAAGGAAGGCCAGATCCTAGCTGCAGGTCATGTGCCTAGCCTGCTAGCCCGACAGGGAATACTGCTAGATGGTGATCAAAGCAAGTTCCTGCTGCAGGTCTTCACCAAGTCCCTCTTTCCCGAGGACACCTTCTTCCTGGAGCTGATTCAGAGGCAAGGGGCCACAGGCTTTGGCCAGGGCAACATCAGGGCCCTGTGGCAGTCCGTGCAGGAGCAAGCTGCCAGGTGCGGGAGAGCCTGAGGAGGGTGTTACTGAAGCCCAGACACACCTACAGGGAAACATCCTTAGAGACCCGACTAGCGAAAGACCTTGCTCCAGGGGCCAGGTGTGACCTCAGAAGGTCAGAAGTTGTCTCACTGGGGTTCTAGGCGGTGGGTTTTGTTTTTACTATGAAACATTTGTTACATACACTTTCTAATACATATGCAAAATATAAAGAATAATAAAGGAATTACACTATCAGAAAGAGAACATAACCAATACTTGTGAAATCTCCTAGTGCCCTCTGATCCCATTTCTCTCCCACTCACTCCCCCCAATTTTGTGATTATCAACCCCTTGCTTTTCTGTATACAGTATGTAATATAACCCTAAATAACTATGATTTTAGTACTTGAGGTAGGAATTTAAGACAATAAATCCTCCCCAGTGCCTCCCCTCTCCCTAGGAAGCTGCAGGTGGGGAGGGGCTGGGACAGGGCCACTGCTCCAATCAGAGGTGACCTGGACTGAGGGCGTTGGGTGTCCACTGCTGGCAGGTACTGGCAGGTGCTCCCTGCAGCTGCTTTCTCCCTCTCTCCTGGGGCCTGGGGGAGGACAAATCACCCGATTTCCAGCTGCCTGGGGCTACCTAGGAGCTCAGCCAGTGGAAGCCAGGTCCAAGCAGGACTTCACCACTTTCTCGGTTCCTCAGAGGCAGGGAGTGAGGGGGCTAGGAAGGGGGTGGAAAGCTCTCCAAAATGACTACAGAAAATAAACACTTTATTAAACAACAGGATTCTCAGGAGTGGGCACTTCCAGAGGCATCACTGGGCCACACTGTTGAGGCTGGGTGCATCAGTGGGGACATGGGGCCGAAAGAAATGATCCAGGACTTGCTGGCCCGGGCTGGGCTTTTTCCGACTAGACGAGATAGACACCTGGGACCTTTTGGAACCCTGTGCAGAGAAGCCAAAGTAGGGAGGCACTGAGGAGGGAGCAGCAGAGAATCCTCCTCCCATTCCCTTCTCCTTACTCCACTGATTTAGTTCAAGTTCTAGCCTGGAATGTTGCAAAAGCTTTCACCCTGACCTCCAGTATCTGCCCCTCAGATCAACTCTCCAAAAGGCAGACAGAGGGATCTTCCTAAAATGCAAGTCTAACTCCTCTCTCTTCTACTTAAAATGCTTCAGCAGCCTCAGGCCCTAACTGACCTGGGGAGGCCCTGCTGGCCCCTCCAGGTAAACCAGATGCTCACAGCTCCCGGAGCACGGAGCACAGCAGACTGCATTGTGCTTCACCTTTGCTCACGCTACTCTCGGCCCTGGAAAGAACATTCTTACTGCTAATTCCCCTCCCAAATCTGGAGAAAACGACTCATTTCTGGGATCCAAATGATAAACTGCCTCTCTAAGCAGCCCTTCCTGATCTTTGCCTCCCAGACAGAACTGATCCTCCCCACCACATCCGAAAAACAGTACAAACATTTCACACACCTGTGACATTGTACTCTCCACTGTGTGTTCCCCTCTCCTGGATCTCAGACTATAAATTCCCCAAGTCAAGAACTATTTCCCTCTCTCCAGTGAAGCCTGGAGCAGAAAATGCTCACCTCAGCAGGTGTCTTTTAACTGACTGAAAGCTCCTGAAGACCAAAATGGCTGGTGAGGGCCAAGAGACTTACCTTGCAGGCCCCTGGCTGTTGGCCCTCATACATCCGGAATACCTAGTCAAGAAGATGGGGAGAGTACAGGGCTGGCACCTTCCCCACAAAGAGCCAAACCCCTGTGTTCTGCCCTTGACTTCATGCCTCAGCACTTCTGTTTAAAATATATGGATTTTTGTTTTTTCCTGTTTACACAGTAATAGGTTCACGTAAAACATTTAGGAAATACAAAAAAGAGTAACAAAGACAACAAAGGTAGTGCCTTTTTCATGGCAGTAGAGACAGCTGCAGTGTGGAACTCCTCTCGGGTCAGCCAGCGAGCGCCAGGTGGTGCGGTGGTCACCGGGATCTGCCCTTCCAGGGCCAGACCATATACTTGATATGTCAGCTTGATGTGAGAGAAGGTGTGGACAACCTGGTAAGGGAGGTGTGGGGGGTGAAGGGGCTGAAATAGGCCTGTGGACACTGCCACAAAAGCCATCATTCCTGGCCCCTCCATGGCTCACTCACCTCCCCGAGGTGCTTGAGGCGGGTGGCCGGGAGGGGCCCAGCCCAACTCTGCAGTTCCTGCAGCAGGGCCTCGTGCTGGTACTGCCCTGAGGACTCCATGGTCACCGATGGGAACTCCCACAGTCCTGCCAGCAAACCTGAGAGGAAGGGCAGGCAGGTGTGGGGTAGGCCTTAGCTGCTGACTTCTCCATTCCTTACTTGGTACTCATGCCATTACTTCTTCACTCCCCGTATCCAGGTACCTGAGCTTGGCCTCTGCACCAGCAGAAGTCGAGAGCCTCCAAGGGCCCCGGGCTGCTCCAGGACACAGGTGGCAGAGCATTCCTCCCTGGGGGGCCTGCGGCTGGCCTTTCGGGGAAAGTTGGCCACTCCCAGGGTCTGGTCCCAAGGCTTTGTGGGTGGTGGGCACAGCTGGCATTGTCCAGTGTTGGGAGCTGGAAACAGAGATCCCCAAGCCCCACTCAGGCCAGGGGGGGCTTAAGTGCCAAGCCCAGAGACCAGGCCTTGACCCAGATCCACAGAAACATACTCAGGTTGTAGGAACAACTGGAATGAGGCTTCCACAGGCAGCTCCCTAACAGGGCAGGGAAGGGGTGGGGCTGGGCCAAGGGCTGGTACTTACCACACTCCTCCACATCAGGGCTGTGTGGCAGGCTTTGGGAGGCTGAGAGCTGCTCTCGTTTCACCTGAGAAGCATAGGGAGGGGTGTCATGGGGCAAGAGTCACTCCCTAGGGCCCCTGAGTACCCCTTCCCCAGATGGCTCACCCTCTGGTGTGCTCTGCACAGGCTCTGCACAGGGCACTGGCTGCAAAGCGGGCGCTGCGGGGTACACACTGTGGCTCCCAGTTCCATGGCGGCTTGGTTGAAGTCCCCTGGCCGGGCTGGGTCCACCAGCAGCTGGGCTAAGCTCCTACAAGAAGGGAACATCACTGGAAGCCAAAGACCCTTTAGAGACATCCCTCCCACTCTACCCCTTACTCCCATATCCTACCAGAGTTGCTGGGAGACAAGGGTGCTGCTGGGATCAGCACCAATCGCCCGGACACGGCACAGCACCCGTACTACATTCCCGTCCACTATACCGGTTGCCTGGTACACAGGAGCCCAGGAATCAGCCTCGGCTGGCAGAAAGGAAGGTGGGCAGGGCACACAGTAAGGGTGGGGCTATGGGCTCACCTGGCCAAAGGCGATGGAAGCAATGGCTCCAGCTGTGTACCGCCCCACACCGGGCAGGAGCTGCTGCAGAGTCTCTGCTGTATGTGGCATGTGGCCCCCTAGCTCTTCTACCACCTGATTGGGATGGAAAGGCTTGAAGTTATGAGTGAGACACCTGAGGCCCCTGGGCTCCCACCCTTGTTGCCACCCCGTCACCTTCCGGGCTCCTTCCTGCAGGCGCCGGCCTCGAGAGTAGTAGCCCAGGCCAGCCCAGAGCTGGTTCACCTCCTGTGGGTGGGGTCAGAGGTCAGAGAGATTAGTGGTCAGTCCTCAGCCATCCCCATTCCCCCTACCCTAGGGTGGCTCTCACCTCCAGGGAAGCGCTAGCCAGGTCCTGTAGTGTCGGCCACTTCTAAACCCCAAAGCAGATAAAAAGAGATAAGGTCAAGGGTGAAGGAAGTGGAGCCCTTCTAAACCTCACCCCCAAAGGACAGGCTCTCATCTGGGGTCAGACCCACAACCCTCCCCTTCCTCCCCTGGAGTCACCTGCATCCATCGGGTATAGTAGTCAATCACCGTGGCAACCTGGGTCTGCTGCAGCATGATCTCTGAGACCCACACTGGCAGAGAGGGGTTGGCATGAGGGCACTGCTGACGTCCCCACTCCTAGCCCTCAGCCCCAAGGGACCCCAGGTAGGATGGCCAAGCTCTCAGGAGATACACTCACCAGCATACGCCCGCCTGTCCAGGTCCACCTCACCCTCTGCCTGCCAATGGAAGCCCAGATGGGGAATCAGCGTGGAGGGGCTGGGTACCAGCTTCTTACCCCACCATCCCTGTCCCTCGCCTGCCTACCAGCCTTCTCCAGGGTAGGTTGCGCTTCTCTCTGTCATACCAGCTCAGCAGGCTCCCCCGGAAGGCTGTGATCTCAGCTGTGTCTTTGAATAGATGGTACGGGGAGACGGAGGCCTGCAATACCACCTTCTTCTGCTGCCTGACCAGACCTGGGGGTGCCCAAGACACTCAAGGATTGTCCCTGCACAGGCTGTGCACCAGGACCTGGGACACAGCTGCCTGGCTGGCTGTCTTATTCTCACTAGGGCTCACCCACCCCACAGCCCCTCACTTAAGCTTTGGAGCTGGGGTCAGACTAGAGTTCTTTAGCTGTGTGTAGTCTTGGCCAAGTTCCTGGCCTTAATTTTCCTCAGGTGGTACTGCTGGCTCCTTTGTCTCTGAGCCACAATGAAGACCCAACAGTTCCAGCCAAGCACAAATGGGACCTGGGCAGGGCCTCCCTGTTTACACAACACTTCCAGGCTCATAAACTCATTTAATCCCCATGAAAGCCCCGCATACACTACTGCCCCATTTTACTGGTAAGAAAGCAGCCATTTGGTGCAATTAGCCCAAAGTCATACAGCAACAGAGTCAGAATTAGCTCCCAAGTCTCTTAATGCCTGATGCCATGCTTCCTTCCCAGCCTGAGTCTGCCCCTTTCATGGCCAATGAGACCAGGCCCCTGAGCCCTCCACCAGGACTGGGCTCCTCACCATCAGGGACAGAAGGCTTGGCCTGGCTGCTGTTGAGGACACATTTATCCCCTCCCTCTTGCCTAGATGCTTTCTTCCTGTGACTTCTCCCAGTTGGTCGTGGCTTCCTCATGATGGCCTAGAACACAAGGACCCAGCCAAAGTAGTCAGTCACAATGAGGCTGAATCTTGGGAGCCTGCAGAGGGTGCAGCCACCTCCTCCGTACACCACTCACAGAGAATATCTCACGTTTCTCAAGCACTCTCAAGATGCTCATGGGTTTGCTCTTGGCTGGCTGTGGCACTGAAGTATGACTAGAATGGCTGAGCTTCTGCAACTGGCCTCAGAGGGACCAGCATTAGTATAAACCCTGGAGACAGATAACGAATAGGGGCCAGTTCAAGGACCGAGGCCTCTTGTCGGGGAGCACCTGTGTATCCCTGACACTTACTGTGACTGTGTGTGTGGACTGGGGTTGTTTAGAGGTGTCTGGGAGCATGGAGTAGGGGCATGGGAGGTTTATTTAGGGATTGTTCTAGGGTAAAATCACCACGAAGTTACAGTAAAGCAAAAAGAAAGGTTTTATTTGGCATATGTTCAAAGATGCAAAAATGGGAAACAGACAAGCATGCTGCCACAGCCATGTCTGCCCGAGTCCAAGGAATATTACAGAATAGGCAAAAGTGGGAAAACAGACAAGAATGCTGCCAGCACCATGTCTGTCCGAGTCTGAGGAACTTTACAGAGTCATCAGTATATGTTAACATTACAAATGGGCAAAACCATTGAAAGCTTCACCTTTTCACAGATTGGCTAAAAACAGCTAAATCACTGTGATCCTACCTTTTGAATTGTCTTTCTTAATAATCATTGGTACAGATTTCAGTAAGCACAGTCAGGAAGGTCTTCATTGGTCCAACAAATCTTACTATTCACTAAATGCTAATAGAAAAAGATAAGAGTAGAAAGTATGTGGGTCTTTTGTGCTGTTTATGATTTGTTTATGTAAAAGGTTCACTAAAAGATGTTTTCCAAGATTGTCCGAGCTATCATCTTTATACCTCAGGGCCCAGTTGATGTGTCCTTGTGAGTCCAGCTCCAGCTGGGTCACATTCTAGGACAGGGAATAATGGCTCCAATATTATCTCCTAAATCAAGAGGCAGCATGTTTTTGCTGAAAGGGCCTTTAGTAGTCATCTAGTCGATGGTGCAATGGTTAAGCGCTCAGCTGCTAACCAAAAGGTTGGCAGTTTGAACTCACCCATCGGCTCTGCAGGAGAAAGACCTGGCCATCTGCTCCCATGAAGATTACAGCCTAAGAAATCCTATGGGGGGGACTCCGGCAAGATGGCGGTCTAGGCAGAAGCACCACGCCGTCCCTCCACAACAAAGATCCGAAAAACTAAGCCAAACAGAGAATCAACAATCCTG